CAGGACAAAAGCCCCTCTGCACAAAAATCTTTCAGTACAATTACCTATCGGAAAAAAATAATTTGTCTGGGGCGTTATTAATTTAGTTATCCGGTTAGTGTTTTGCTCCGAGGTTATTTTTTAGAGAATTTTATTGAGGGTTTTTCCCGGAGAGTTTAGTTCCTGAACTGTTTAACTTGTATGTTAAGTGTTAATGTGGTTTCTTCAGTACTACATGGCTTCTTGTTTAAATTGAAAATGCTGAACGAGGGGCATATGTAAATAATGTTAATGATGAGAATCGTGGTGGTGGTGTTGATGATGAGGAAGACGATGAGGAGGAGGAAGATATTGATAATGATGATGATTGGGAATGATGATAATGATGATGATTGGGAATGGATGGTAAGGAGGAGAAGGTGATGACGACCACGATGATGATGATGATGATGATGATGATGATGATGATGATGGTGGTGGTGGTGGTGGTGGTGGTGGTGATGGTGGTGGTGGTGGTGGTGGTGGTGGTGGTGGTGGTTGTGATAATGAAAGTGATGACATTACAACAATGAAGATGACACCTAACACAACAATATTCACCAAAGAACGTGCCTCAACAACGGGTGATGATGATGATGATGATGATGGTAATGATAATGACGGTGATGATGAAGATGATGATGGTGATGATGAAGATTAGAAAAATGATGACGACGACATTGAACACAGGAGCGGTGGTTGAAGTGGTGTCCCCGGCTGCTGAGTTTTGTGGTGGCTAAGAGGGAGTGGCCACTACTTCTGTTTCATCCTCAAGGAAGGTTGGTGGTGATGGTGGTGGTGATGATGATGATAACGGTGACGAAGATGTCGAGACATAATGATGATGACAGAAATGATGATGACGTGGACTGGGGTAATGATGATGATGATGATGATGATGATAACGAAGATGATGATGACGAGAGGATGATGTGGATGATGACAGTGACGTCAGCGTCTGAAATGAGCTCCATCTAGCAAGGTACCTCATTAGGAAACGTTTTATTTGCAATTTAATGATAAGATTACGACAAGGATGTTTACGATTGGTCACGTGGTACGCATTTGATTACATTGTCCTACTCGTCATCGCCCTCAACTGCATCACCCTGGCCATGGAACGACCGGACGTCCCTAACGACAGCAAGGTTCTGTAGGTGCGGTAGTGGTTGGTTGGATGGTTGGTTGGACGGTTGGTTGGATGGATGGTTGGTTAATTGGTTGGATGGATGGTTGGTTAATTGGTTGGTCAGTCGGTTGGTTGGTTGATTGGTTGGTTGGTTGGTTGTTTGGTTGGTTGGTTGGTTGGTTGGTTGGTTGGTTGGTTGGTTAGTTGATCGGTTGGCTGGTTAGTTGGTCGGTTGGTTGGATGGTTGGTTGGTTGGTTGGTCGGTCGGTTGGTTGGTTAGTTGATCGGTTGGTTGGTTAGTTGGTCGGTTGGTTGTTTGGTTGGTTGGTGGGTTGGTCGGTTGGCTGGCTGGTTGATTGGTTTTATTTTGATACATTGAAAGCAGTACATCCACCACACCAACTCCAAGTACCTACCAAGACATTACATGGCACAACACAACACAAATTTATTTGATTTCCTTTGCCAACAGGAGAGGCAGTTCCTTATCATCTCAAATTATTTGTTCACAGCTCTGTTCGGCTTTGAAATGGCAGTGAAGGTAAAAAAGGTTTCGTTCGTTTTCAACACTTTTAAATTGCAAATAAATATCTTTTAATGAATCCTGTTCCAATGGATATTTACCATTGTTAAAATTTTTGTTCCCAAAATATTTGTTTGCAGTTCATTGAAAAGTTGTTTATGTAAGGAAATAACTGACATGAGTTGGTTGCATTGAAGAGTCTGCCTTGTTGTTGCGTGTCTGATGAGTTGTTGCGTGTCTGATTCAACAAGTGACACAAAATTCAATTTTATGTATCGGTGCAAACAAATTGGAAACAAATAATTCAAGGACAACAATAAATGCACACTATAATTGAATGTTAATCATATGTAGCAAATACAAATTGTACTTAATTGCCGAACCCTGACCGCAGGTGATAGCGCAGGGTTTCATGTTGGGTGAAGGCAGCTACCTGAAGAGTGGGTGGAATGTGATGGACGCCTGTCTCATGTTCATCTCCATCACTGACATCATCTTCTCACTCACCGCATCACACAGTCCAAAGATCTTCGGCATTTTGAGGGTCTTCAGACTGCTCAGAACGTTGCGACCACTCAGGTCAGATAGTGTTCTTCAAAGTTGAAATTTTTATGGAGAAAAAGTTTTTTGTCTTAGAATTTAGATTGAACGCTTTGTTTGGTTTGAAAAGTGAAACTTGTTCCAAGTAGCAGGAAAATGTATTGAAACATCTTTAAAATGTTTTAAAAATGTTAGCAATGCAAAGTAAAATTTTACAAATAAATAATAAAATGATTCGATTAAAGAGTGATCAGTAGAGCGCCAGGTCTGAAGCTGGTGGTTCAAACCCTGCTATCCTCCTTGAGACCTATCGGCAACATCGTCTTCATCTGCTGCACCTTCTTCATCATATTTGGCATTCTTGGAGTTCAAGTGGGTTGCAAAAATAGAACGATGACTGATTGAATGACTGACTGATTGATTTATTTATTTATTAACTGACTGATTAAATGGTTGGCTGGCTGGCTGGCTGGCTAGCTGACTGGCTGACTAGCTGACTGGCTGACTAGCTGGCTAGCTGACTGGTGGATGACTAGCTGGCTAGCTGACAGGCTGACTGGCTGGCTGGCTGACCGACCAACAGACACACCGACCAACCAACTGACTGATCGATTGGTTAAGCGAAGGAATGAAAATAAATTTGATAGTTTAGTGAATAAGTGAAGAATCTCATAAACAATTACAATGGTGTCCACATATTGATGTTGAATGGATATTGAAAAGATGGCTAAAAGCTGGACATCTGAATTGTAAAGATGGAGTGTAGTTTGATGGGTTGATGCCAAATTTGGTCATTTAAATAACGAAACCTTCAATTTAAAAACACAAATTTAAACATTTACGGAAACAGACTAATGTAAATGAAGATGAAAATTGAAGATCTGATCTATTGTAGAAATGAGTTGATGAAAATAGAAATAATGATGATTTGAAAAATGTGATTCAATTGATAACCTGGGAGGGACGTACCATTAAATGACACAAACATCTTCTTTAATTTAGTATAATCATGGTCCGCCCTTCACATTAAATAATCAAAGATTGAATGAACGAGTTAATGAATCAATGAATGAATGTACGAATTAATGAACAAAAGAACGAACAAGTGGATTTTTAAATAGAACGAATGAATGGATGAACCAACGAACCAATAAATTAATTAACAAGTGAATGATTCAAAGAAAGATTGAAGGAACAAACAAATGAATGAATGAATGAATGAATGAATGAATGAATGAATGAATGAATGAATGAATGAATGAATGAATGAATGAATGAATGAATGAATGAATGAATGAATGAATGAATGAATGAATGAATGAATGAATGAATGAATGAATGAATGAATGAATGAATGAATGAATGAATGAATGAATGAATGAATGAATGAATGAATGAATGAATGAATGAATGAATGAATGAATGAATGAATGAATGAATGAATGAATGAACGAACCAACGAACGAACGTATGAATGAATGAATGAATGAATGAATGAATGAATGAATGAATGAATGAATGAATGAATGAATGAATGAATGAATGAATGAATGAATGAATGAATGAACGAATGAACGAACGAATGAATAAATGAATGAATGAACACGAACAGCTCTTCAAAGGCATGCTGTACCACTGCGAGGGCGGGGACGTTTCCATGGTGACCAATAAAACAGACTGCACGAGGAAGGGACCCCCTTTCAAGTGGACGAACCGCAAGTACAACTTCGACAACTTGGGACAGGTCTGCACCGTCCAGCATAGACGCTGCGTGAATAAAAAAATTTATTCATCAAAAATTAAAATATATATATATCTATGAAATATTATGGAACACGTTTGTCTTTTTTATTTCTTTGTTATCAATAATGAAAGAATAGATGAAGAGTTAAAACGAGAGAAATATGAGCGAACGGGGATTCACTTACAACGCTTTTAGAAGTAATAAAATCTTGAAAGAAGCCATCGAGCGATATTTATAAGAATGTAATGTAGAAGGCTGGAGGGCAGGAATGTTTCGTGAAGTTGGGGTTTGAAGATTTACGAGCGCTGAGGTGAGTACGTAAGAATTTATGCAATGTACCAATGCTAGTACACTTCTATCTCGCTACAACTATCGATAAGGCATGCACACACAAAAATTAAAAACACACAGACAGACACACACACACACAAACACATCAAGCACAATCACACAATTATTAATATATTACCCCCCCTCAACGACCAGGCTTTAATGTCTTTGTTTGTGTTGGCATCGAAGGACGGGTGGGTGAACATCATGTACACCGGCCTGGATGCAGTTGGAGTGAACAAACAGGTCAGTAGAGTTCCTCTCTTCGACATCCCCATCAATCTATATTTTGTTCACGACAATGCTCCGTTGTGTTAATTTAATAAGCACAAGTATTCTAAATGAATATTTTTTTATAACAGCTACTTCGTTGCTTTGAAAATGGCCATCTTCACAATCATTATTAGCAGCAGTATCATATTAATATCATATCATGTTGCCACCATTCTCCTCCCAACCATCCCCAACACAATAACCATCACCAGCATGGCATCACAATCATTCCCAACACAATCACCATCAGCAAAACCACGACCAACATAACCATCGTCAAAACGAGTTGAAAATTTCATCACAATAACCACCACCCCCCCAAACGAACGAACAAAGCCCATAGTGAACTACAACGAGTGGAGGCTGCTGTACTTCATCTCTTTCCTCCTCCTCGTGGCGTTCTTCGTCCTCAACATGTTCGTCGGAGTCGTCGTAGAAAACTTCCACAAGTGTCGGGAGAGTCAGGAACAGGAGGAGAGGCAGAGGAGGATGAGCAAGAAGGCTATGAAAATGCTCAAAAAGAGACAAAGTTTGTCGTTTGTCTCCGTTTGTCTGTCTTTTTTTCTGTCTGACTGCCTCTTTGTCTGTTTTTGGTCCGCCTGTTCATTTTTTGTTTGCGTGTCTTCATAATTAACAAGTCAATGAATGGTTTTCGTTTGTATCAATATCGATCGAATGCTGTGTTAGAATTACTGAAAAATTTTATTAACTGTACCGATGTTTTTAAAATTAACCTATAGATGGCGATGCGATCAATTGATTTCAACTTCTGATTATATCATAAAATGGTGATTTATAAATTAATAAAAATGAAGTGCATAATTCACAGTAATTTTTTTATTAGGTACGTTTCAGTAATACGCTTGCATAACTCATTTTGTGCATTGTCAGTTTGGTGTTTTCTTTTTTTCCTACAAATGAAATTATTTTAAATTTGAAGCAAATGATGAATGCACCGCTACAACGTTACAGCATGGAGTTTTGCTTCATTACAAATATTTTAAATCCAATAAGTAGATCAATCCCGATCAGCACAAACCTCGTCACCAACACACGAACAAACAGGACAATGTGAAATTCCCTACTGGACCAACTACTCAAAATGGCGAATGTCCTTGCACTCCATTGTGACTAGCAAGTACTTTGACCTCGCAATTGCTGGGGTCATCGGGTTCAATGTCATTTCGATGGCCATGGAGTTCTACATGATGCCCAAAGTTGGTTGGCTAAATCAATCGCGACCGTTTCGAAATTAATCATTTCTAATTCAACAACATATTGGTCGCATGATTTCACAATGTTCAACATATTTGTTCAACCAATTTGAATTTTGGAGCAAACAAATAATTTGATAAAAACATTGCCCACAAACTTACTTAAAATAAAATCAGTGAACCTCAAAATTTTATTCTCAATATTTTTTTCATTCCAACAAATTACAATTTGATTTTTTTTACATGTAAAGCTGAAAAACAGTATTTATGTAACCTGGCAGTCAAATGTGTTTGAAATTTTTTTACCTAATTGACTGTAGCAAGCTGAATGTTAATCTTGGATGAAAAATAATTAAATGGTAAACTTTTTTAATTTGACTTGAAGGAGCTGGAGCAAACGTTGAAGATCTTTAACTTCTTCTTCACATCCATCTTCGTGTTGGAGGCGGGGGTCAAGGTTGTGTCATATGGGGCGTTCAGATATCTATCAGACAGGTCTTGTGATGTTAAGTTTGTGTGTGCCTAATGTATGTCTGTGCTTGCATGTGTTTATATGTGTCTGGGGGTATGTGCAGTACGTGTGTGTGTTTCTCGTTATTGTCGTTATTTACCCGATGAGGTTAATTGCACATGCACAATATTTTTGTTAATCTCTTAGACTTTGAATAGAGTCATATTTTCAAAATATTGTTTTAAAAAATTTAGTCTTAGAAAGGAATGATATGTCAGCTACTTCGTGTGAATTGTTGTTGTTGTTGTTGCATCGAATGTGTTAGGACGGTAATGCAATTATAGCAACAATTTAATCGTTAACAACGCTCGTAATTTCTATGAAAATGCCTGCAACCGTGATAAAAACATCTATTGCGACAAAAGTTATAGCAACAACAATTATAAAAACAACACCTACAACGACATCAACAATTACAACATCAACAGTTATATCTACAAAATTACAACAACTACTACAACAACAATTACGACGCCAACACCTACAACAAGTAGGCCAACAACAACAGAACAAGGAAAACAATGACCATCTTAATAACAACACCACAAACATAGCAACAACACAAACATAACAACAACAATAACACAGATGGAACCAGTTGGATGTGAGCATCATCATCATGTCCATTGCCGGCATCATCCTCGAGGAGGTGACGTCACAAAACTTTCCCATCACCCCCACCATCATCAGAGTCATGAGGGTTTTGAGGATAGCTAGAGGTGATGTGCGTGAGTGAATGGATGGATGGATGGATGGATGAATGGACGGATGGATATTTTCTCTTCATTACGCGAATAAACGTGTAATTCGCTCTTTACTGGATTTACTGGATGGAGGGATGGATTGATGGGTGGATAAGTGGATAAATGGGTGGATGACGATGGATGGGTTGATTGATGAAAGATGAATAGATGGATAAATTCGTAAAAGTATTTGAGTTCATATAATAAATTACATCAAAAATTTACAATAGTTTTCAAATTGAAAAATAAAAATGCGTAAAAATACAGTTTGTAAAAATTTTAAAAGATCAACTTAAATTTGTTACCAGTGCTGAAATTGTTGAAAATGGCGAAATCAGTTCGTGCCCTGTTGGATACGGTGGTGCAAGCTCTCCCAGAGGTCGCCAACCTCGGTCTCCTCTTCTTTCTGCTCTTCTTCATCTTCGCTGCTCTCGGAGTCGAGCTATTCGGCAGAGTTGGTGAGTTGGCTGCACGTCGTCGTGCACATCTGACGTGATCACGTGGGAGGAATTTATGTTAATGCATTTGAAATATGCATTTTTACACATGATAAATTTTTCTGCATAATTTGCTCGTTATTAATTTAATTAATTAATTAATTAATATTAAAATAAAACTTGTGAACATTTTTATATTTATGGTACGTTGACTGAGACCTTTGAAACATTGTTGTAATGAAAATGCAATGAGAAAACTTTACTTAAAACGACGAGAATAATGACCCCATAATGATTATTGCGCCCTGTTCAGAGTGCTCGGACCAGTTTCCTTGCGAGGGCCTGGGAAGGCATGCCCACTTCAAAAACTTTGGGATGGCCTTCCTCACACTCTTCCGGATCGCAACTGGAGATAACTGGAATGGAATCATGAAAGTATGTGCATGTATAGGAAAGAAGTAGATCAACGGATGAAGGAGTGGATGGATAGATGGATGGATGATGGATAAAAGGATATTGTATTGTATTGTATTTAATTGTATTGTATTGTATTGTATCGTATTGTATTGTATTTTACTATACTGTACTGTATTGTACTGCATTGTACTGTAGATTTGTAGAGCAGCGCCTCTGTTGAGTCATTATTATAATAGTGTTGTATGGATGCAATGAATGGGATTTTTTAAACGAAACGGCTGGAAAACGATCACAATGAAACTTTTAAATTGAAAAGCTTTCCCAACAAATAGATGAATAAATAGATGAAAAATTTTGGACTTTGATATAAATGAATGAGATCGATTTTGTCAGTCCAACTTAAATAATAATTATCGACCGATTGTTTGCCCGCCACTGTAAGGACACGTTGAGAGAGGAGTGCGACTCATCTGAGGATTGCGTGAGAAACTGCTGCGTCAACAAGATCATTGCCCCCATCTTCTTCGTCGTCTTTGTCCTCATGGCCCAGTTCGTTCTCGTCAACGTCGTTGTGGCGGTTCTCATGAAACATTTGGAGGTCATTCGTATGTTTCAATTCACTGTTCACGTACATGATGCAGAAATTGTCCTACAGAAATTAATTATAAATTAATGCTTAATCTAATAGCGAACGAACAAATAATTGTTGTTTTACTTATTATTGCAGACACATTTCATATAACTATTTTTGTTAAAATTTTAGTGAAAACACTTTTTAAAACAACTATGAATGTTTAGTTATGAAGTCTTTATAACATTGAGCGTGAACATTCGCATGAGACAGGAATCCAACAAGAACATTGATGACGAGACGGAAGATGAGGGTCACCACGATGATTTCCTGAAGCTGGCCAGTCAGGTGATGGAGAAATGCAACCAAGTGCCTGGCATTCAGAAGAGACACCAGAGGAACAGAGTAAGCACGCAGTTAAAATCTTGACAATTGACGATTAACTGAAATGATAATTTCAAAAAAAACATTTATTTATTTAACAAGCTGCTGAAGTCATACAGCAAACTTCGAAGTCTCTCGATCCTTGAGGAACACGCCGAGACCTCATCGATACCAACTAGTCAGACGTCTCCAGTTAGTGCCGGCTCCAAGAGATCCTCCATGCCCTGCTACCTCATCAACAGCCAGACGTGCAAAGTTATCAGGGACAACAAATCATTTGATGATGTACCTGTGCGTGTTGGTGTCCATGAAAACAAATGCAATGCTGCTTTCAATGGCGACGCCGAAGATAATGGCAATGATTATTTCACATGTAAAAGTAAATCTGCCAGCAATAAACCGCACTGTGATAAACAGATAGTGAAAGCGGATGTTTATTGCTACGATCATAACAACGAAAGTCTTCCTAATCCAACATTTAAGACATCTTTAAAACGCATCGACACCGACGACGATATTAATAAAAATGTCAGTAGTGCTGAAAATAACGACAGAAAGACGAGCAACAGTTTGTTACTAGAAGTTATAGGCATTAAACAAAACGTTGGATGTAACTACAACATCATTAACAAACAACCCACCGTTGCCAGCAACTTCTGTTCAACATTTCTAAAAAAGACACAACCTCCTTATAGGTCTTTAGGAAAACTGGACGGTACCTCGTTCTCAACAACACATTTAAACGAAAAGGTTACTGATGCGGGAAAACATTGGGGTTTCTCACAATTCGATGTCAATTTTAGTCATAAACATCATCTGCGCGGTTCATTCAAAAATTACTTGCAAAAACAAATAATCAAACTTGAAAATATGAATACACTTTTAAACAAAACCGACAAAAACGCTCGAAGGAATCTTCAGCAAATTTTAAGTGCTTCTCGCCGTTCGAGCACGGAGCAAGCAGAGGACAAACAAGCTTCAAACCACCGCAAATCGTTAGGTCAGTTATCATTCCAAGAAAATATCTCTACCTGTTACAGCCTACCAGCTGTGTTCGACAGCAATCGAAATGAATTAAAACATACCGGCAGTAATTTAAACGGAACAAAACATGGAGATGGAAGGGCTCTAGAGAGAATAAAACTTACCAATCTCTCCGACATATTCATTGTCCCATCAAAAACGACCACCGCTAACGATGCTGAGGCTGTGGTAATTGATGTAAACTTAAACAACAGTTCAACAAACTTTCTTGATTCAACTATTCTCAAAAAATTTAGCAGGCACAATTCATCATCTTGACATTATATACGGCTTGAATAAACTTAAAATATTTTAATGCATTTTAATTTGTTTTCATTTAAATGACTTATTATTTTTGTTTTGCAATTTAAAAAATTTGAAAATGTATTTTTGATAAATGCACGTTTTGAATTGAACTTCAATTTTGCAATACGCCTCAGACATTTTGTATTAATCAAACATTCATTCCATTAAGTTGTACCGTGTGGAGGTGTGTTGTATTAACAGGACAATACTGCATACTGTATAGATTGCGATGAATTGAACAATGCAGACGACATATTTACAATGGAAACACCTCAATTCATTCGTTGATACAGATATAAATAGAATATATTAATATAGTACCGAATTATTCAATAAAAAACTCATTTTGACTTTTAATAAATTTAATAATTGTTCTTTGGATGTTTGATATTTATCTCTATTATCGGCTGTCATCTGGATTTTGAACTTAAATTCAAAATTGAGAAGTCGCTGCCAATAAGTCGTCAAAATCAGTTTATTTATTTTGTTAGTGACTGACGGAAATATTATTACTACGATAAAGAATATAAAAAAAAATGTCAGCTGGTTACGGCGCAAACATCACTCAAAACCCAGAGAGCCACCAGCTTCCAACTGTTTTCGAGTTACTTGCTCAAGATAATTTGGCATCATTGGTGACTCCAGCACTTCAGCATGTTTTAAAGGTAAAATTTATTCAACAAAATCGAAGATCAGTCTTGGGTTTTTACTTTTTACTTATCAAATTAAAATTTTAAAAGACATGTATCCACAGAACAGAGCATGCCATAAACAGTAAGCTGCTCTCATAATCATGATTAAAGACAAAACTTTACATTTAGTAGATTAATCAAATGCCTCAGTGGAAAAAAATTTGAGATAATAAGTAAAAGAGAGGGTAGGTTAAAGTGTTCTTAAATATGTATAAAAAAGTGAATTGATATTAAGATTTAATTATTGGAATTATAAAAATACTTATGATTTAAAGTGAAATACTAAAAATCAAATTTTAAAATACTAAATTAAAACATCTTTTTAACTGTCATCAATTATTTAATTACTTTGTAAGGTTAAAATCGTAATTTTGGTATGCTTTTTTAAAAAGAAAGTTCATATACTATACAATACATTGTACATTGTAGGCATGCTTTTGTACTGTAGGCATTAAAATAAAAATAAAATCTATAAAGTTATTTGAAAGTGTTTCAACATGTAAATTAACTAGTTGAAATAAAGTTTTGTGCATTTTTTGCAAGCATTTTAAAACATGATTTACCACATAGGCATTAATATATACTTCATGCATTGAGACGCATAAGCACTGAAATTAACTGACAAATTTGAATAAAAGTGTTTACATAGTAATTTTGTATTTTATTATATGCTTCCATGATGTTTAAAATTATATTTTTTTGAGACTTTGTTCAAAAGGGTGGCCCTGAAAAGTTGTTTTCATCATCATCACTGCCATCAGCATCATCTTTATCAACAGATGTTTACATTTTTTCTGATGTAGACAATAATATTGCCAAACAGCATCTGGCCATACTGTTCACACCAAACAAATTCTGCCAAGTAAGTGGGCCTGAGGTCTTTCGAGGTACAATACATGTACTTCATTTTTCTTTTCAATTTAGCCCACTCTGGCTCCACATTTTGCGTGTGAGCCAATGGATTTCTCTGATTCTCTGATTAAAAAATTTTGAGAATGAATGACAGTTCAATGGATGTAGCCCATATTCCAAAGTTGGCTGTTGGAAACTACGGTTGTTCCTGGTGCAATCCATTTTACTATTGATGGTAAAAGCATTTGTGCATCCTGGGCCTGGACCTCCTTCAGAAAGCAATGTCTGGTACCTCGTTCAATCCCGCCTTCTTTCGAATTGATGTTTTTCTCTTTTTGATATTTTGCTTTGACCATTTTTGACTCGTCAACTTCAGCAATTGACTCTGGGCTACCTATAGGTACAACTTGATCTACGCATTTGTAGATACATATGTCACAGCAGAAGTTGTACCAATCAATTGCAGACTTTGGGCTCAGCTGCAACTCACAACATGCTGTTTTTATTGGTGTGCTCCAGGATCTAATAGTGGATTAAATGAACCGGCAGGCTAAGTTGGACGTTACTTCTTTCAAAGAAGATATTTTTCCTTATGGTGGTTCTATTTTGACAGCTTCTAACAGGACAGCGCCAAATTACGCCATCAAGGCCTAGTTGATACGCAATTTCAGTCATATCACTGGCGCAATTGTCACAAATAATTTCTTCATATAACAATCCGTTCAGTCTGTTTACACAATGCAAATTGCTACAATATATCTTCTTAAATCTAAATATTTTAAAATTTGTTAGATTTAGACTTGTATCCTGTATTATATAATATATTTATTCATTTATGATGTAGTTATTAAAAATGAAAAAATCCTGATAAATTAACTTAACGTGCATGGTAGTAAATGTTAGAATTATCTTTTTGCCATAAATATAAAAAGAAAATTAACAATTTTTTAGTAGTTTTTATTGGAAAAACATTATTATTATTAATGAATATGAGCACGGGCAAAGCCTCTTGCCAAACTACATATAGAAAAAAATCGAAAAACCAAAAGAAATTTGTAAATAAACGTAAATGAATCTCCATAATAATTATACAAAACAAGAAACAGAAACAACCCAAAATTAAATTAGAAATAAACATGTTATGATTGATCAAATATTCTCACACCTTCCCCAATACACCTTTGACAATACATTCACACACTGGTTACAACGCACACATACCAACAATCAAATACCTTCCCCAAAACATATCTGCAATATTTTCAACACACTCATTCCCCCATTTGCACATTGTCCACTATGTACACTTCCCCTATTTAAAAACACACAAATTCAATTTATCAAAAACCTAATTTAATATTATTATACCAAAAAGTACATATATAAACATTATTTATTACTAAATAAATATACAAAATACATTAAAAAGCCCCAAGAAAATTGACACATGCAGACATCACAAAAATCACACAATTAAAAATCAGAATTTAGATTTCCAGTTGAACATGGCATCACCAAAAAACAATCAACCGCAGATTTGAAACTGTTTAGGGAGACAGCATTGACGGTGGCTGTGGGCAACCTGCTCCAGTCATCCACTACTCTATTTGTGAAATAAAATTTACGACGGTCCTTATGGCAGACTCCGGTTGCTATTTTTAGATTATGTCCACTCGTTCGAACATCTTGTGCAAACATACATGTTGGACTGGTGCATATGATTTGCCCATTGCTACTCCTAGTACTTTCCTCTGTACGTGAAGTCATTATGTTTCAGGGTGTATGTGATCAATTCTAGTAATAGATTGTTCGGGCGTCCATTCAGTGGGTTGTCTTTGAAGGCTTTTCTTATGACAGCAATCAATCTGTTTAAATGTATGTTGGTATATAAAGATGTGATGTCTCCTATTACTAGTATGTTTGTGTCATTCACCGTTCTGTATTTGATTCTGTTTACGAACTAATACGTATTTTTGATGTATCCTGGTGACGGTCTCGCTAGAGGGTTAATATAAAAATCGATTAATCTGGCTATACTGTATGATTCTGAATTGACGTCAGCGATAATTGATCTGCCCGGTGGCTTGTCGTCGAAAGGCCATTTGTTACGGTCTTTGTGTACCTTTGGTAAAAGGTAGAACTTCTTGGCTTTTGAGTCTGCTTTGGGTCTGAGGTAGTTGGCCGTGTTGCTGGATATGTCTCCTGCGCGCCAGTATTTGTTTATAATTGCGTTGAGGGCTGTAATGTGTTTGTTAAGTGTGGGTTTTAGTAATACCTGGTAATGTTCCTTGTTTAGTTCTGATAGAGCTTCTTGGTGGTACGATTATTCGTTCATTACTACAAAGATAGCATCTTTGTCAGCCTTCTTTATAACGATGTTCTTGTTGTTTCCTAGTTCACATATTGCTTTGTATTTTGCCTCCGTGAGGTTCTTAGGATGAAATTTTAGTTTGGTATTGTGTTTGTTTCTACGAATTTATTGTATTGTTCTTTCAGTCTGTCAATGGTTTGTACTAGGTGTTCATGTACGTTAGGGTAGAGGAGATTATCGTTTTCATTGTTGTTCCTAGGTGGAATGAAAGTGTAAGTAGAAATTGTGTTATCAATTTTTTGTTGTCTTGCTATTCTTTTTACTATTTTGTTGATGCAGCTTCGAAGTCATAAATTGAGGTGCTGCTGAACGCTGGTATAAAAGCCAGTCCTTTTTCTATGAGGCTAATCTGTGTACCGCTGAGAAAGTAATCTGAAAGGTTAATTATTTGTTCATTTTTATCTGTTGTGTGATTGTACATGTCTAGAAGATATTGTGGTATATTGTTCTGGTCGTCCTCGTTTGGCACGGCCATATCTAGTTTTTTTGTGAATTGCTCCGTGTTATCCCTGTGATAGGTATTTGTGAGTTCGGTTCTATGGTTTTTGTCGCGGGAGCCTGTGATGATGGTTGTGTGTCGTTATTTGCTGTGTTTCTGTTTTGTTCATTAGTTGCACTGGTTTCCTGTTCAGGGTCTTTGTTTTGTGTTTCCTTGTCTTTTTTTCTTTATATTTTGGATTTGTCCTGATAATATTAATAGCATCTCCTTGAGTTCGGCGAATTGTGCTTCTCTGTTTAGATCCTCTTTCTTCAGGATCTGTATATTTTGTAGGACATGGTTTAGCAATAGTTGATCTATGTCGTTCTGTGTGATAGTTCTTGGTGTGTTGGTTTTGGGGGGGATTATTGATGGTGTGGTAGGGGTAATGTGTGGTCTTGGTGTGGTGGGGTTTATAATGGCGTTTTGTATTATATTGGGGTTTTGTGGTGGGTTGGGGTTATCATTTTGTAGGGGGTTAGGGTCAGAGTTGGTTTCCTTTTCCTTTTGTTGTTCTCTTGTTTGTTCTGTTGATTACCCTTTTTGGTGGTGTTTCTGGTGTCTTCTCAAGTTGTATTGGGTTATTGTTTTTTATGGTTTGTAATACCTCTGATATTATCTCCTCAATCTTTCTGTTATTGACACTTTTGTTTATTTTGTTTATTTAAAATAAAACATAAAACTTAACGCCTTCTCGTTCTATTTAAAACACTAGATGGCTTTAACATAAATGTTCTGAAGATCCATCACACACATCAGATTCTTAAGTCTTGGTCCTACCATTGGTTTTGTCAGAGCATCAGCAACTTGAAGTTCTGTCGCAACTCGTTCAACTGAAACTTCTTCTGCAACCTTTCCTCTGACAAAAAATGTGGATATGCTTTGTTCTTCTGTGAAGTTCTGTATTATGTGCTAAACGAATCGCCGCTTCGTTGTCGACAAAAATTTTTGGCTTTTTCTTAAGATCTACAATGTCGTTCAACAATTGTTTGAGCCATATCACTTCACGAGCTGCTTCTCTTGCGGCAACGATTTCTGCTTTGATAGTTGACGTTGGCTAAACCAACTGATCACGCTTTCTCCAAACACATAGATTACACCTGATGTCGATCTTCCACTAGATTTATCTTCTCCATGATCTGCATCACAGAAGGCTCCAAGTGTATTGTTTTGACCAGACTTGTAAACAATACCGACATCAGCTGTGCCTTGCAAATATCTGAAAATTTGCTTGACTTGTGTTACATTGAACTTGCAGGGTTTTTCCAAACTTCTGGATGCTACTCCAACTGCATAAGCAATATCTGGTCTTGTTTCCCGTCATCAAGTACATCAATGCACCAACTGCTGATCTGTAAGGAAATTTCACTTCCTCGTGTTCATTTATGTTTTCATCGAACTCCTCAGATTTTGTAATTGGAGTTGTACAGGGTTTACACTGGCTCATTCCATATCTTTCTAGAATCATTCTTGTATGCGATGACTGATTGACTTTAATATTTCCCTTCTCATCTTGATTAATTTCTAATCCAAGGAAATATGTTGCAGGTTTAGATGTTATCTTGAATTCTGACTTTAATTCTTTTTCAAATTTTTTTAGTTCTATATCGGTTCCTGCAACTAGTCCATCATCAACATACAGTGCTAGTATGAGTTTCTTTCCTTCCTGTATTCTAATGAACAAACAAGTTTCTGCATCGCTTTGTTTGAAATGTCTCTTTTTCAAGAATTCAGCAAAGCGTTTGTTCCAACATCTTGGAGCTTGTTTAAGTCCATAGAGATTTTGCTTGAGTTTACAGACTCTTTCTGAATTATCTTTAAAACCTTCAGGTTGCTCCATATAGATATCTTCATCTAGTTTGCTGTATAGAAATGCTGTTGACACATCAAACTGCATGAGTGACATTTTTTCATTTGCAGCAACACTTAATAGTGTTCTTATAGTTGAACTTCTGACCACAGGTTTCTTCATAGTCAATTCCCTTTTACTGCAAAAAACCTTTTACCACTAGCCTGGCTTTAAACGTTCAACACATGGTATTGCCTTATGACCTTTTGGAAGATTTACCAAATCCCACATTTCATAATCTTGACGATTTATGCTCATTATCCTTTATTGTTTGGTGCACTTACCATTCACTAATTTTAACGCTTCATTACTATAATAACGCGATGCAGCACTTTGCCAATAGTTTTAAAAGTTGGTTACTTATTAAACGCTTCACTAATTTGTTTAATACGAATGCTCAAAAAAAACTTACTGTAAATAAACACGAATTTTTAATTAAAAATAAATATGAAATGTTCTTTAATTAATTTTCCAGTCAAAATTATTGGGGGGGGGGCAAAATGATATTTTCCCCCTTTAAAAAAATATTTGGTGCTTTGCCCCCCTAAGTTGGCGCCTATGAATGGGTTAACTCTGAACATGAAGATTGTTTAAAATAAAAAAAATGTAGTAAAACACATGTATTATTTTTTGTCGTTTATTTTCCATTATAATTATTGTTAGTTGTTTTGTTTATTACTCACTGATAGGTTCTAGCACAGACAAGACCTGATTTGTTTCAAAAATGTTTCCAGTATTCAGATGAATTAATATTAGGAGTTAACTTCCTGGTTGAGTTACACTTTCTAAAGACTCATGGTAGGTTGAAAGCTTGTTTTTAATGTTCTTTATTTTCTGACTAGCACGAGTAAAAGTAAAAACCTTGATGAAATTGACATCATCAAACTCATCCTGACTAATCATACATGAAGTTTTTTTAAGTCTTCATTATTGCAGCCCTGACATACGCAGAACCACTTACAATGTATATTTTCTATTTATCTTTTATTATGTTCTTCATATCTTCATCCATTGATTTGAAGCAGCCATTTTCGCCACAAAGGCTGTCTATCCTTTTCACACGACGTACACTTGTATTTATGTGCATCATTGCCATTATATGTAGATGTTTGACTCAGCGCGCATTTGAACCACTGAGCCATCTCGCCGGCCAAACATGCGACAACTTACGTCGTCTTCCTATTTACCGACCTCGTAAGGATAGACGGCTGGATTGGCCGGGGGTCGGCTACCCAGATGAAACTGCATGATTCGAACCCGGGTCGTGAGAGTAGTAGACGGATACGTTAACTACTTGGCCACGAGGTTGAACATTGGGTCTGCCTGCTTGTTGCTTGTGAATTCACCTTTCATCTTTATCCTTCCGTTTTTGTTTGTTTCTATTGTTTTTTTTATATAAAAATAAATATGCTTAATCTTAATATAAAATTTTTATTAAATTATTGTTCCCAAAGTTTTTAATATGAATACTTTCAATCTGAATGAAATTTATTAAATTAAAAATCTGTTCTTTCATGTGAAATAATATTTAAAATTTAAGAGCAAACAAGTATTATTATTTGGCGAAATAATAATAATAATATTTATTTTTGAAATTATTATTAGTGAAATTATTATTTCAAATGGTGAAATAATTATTAATATATTGAATATATATATTGATACACTGAATTTTATATTAGATTTTTAATAATTCGTCAGCTGCATCTTTTTCCGAAAATTTTTACGGATTGAAAAGAGTTTACACAAGTTCCACAAAAGTATCAGATGTTCCCTCATCAATTAAACTGCCAAGCAACATAATTTGTAGGTCTCTCTTCTGTATGGTACGTTTGCTTTTTGCTTCTGTTTTTTACTTTTTTATAATATTATAAATATATAAAAAAAATATAAAAATATCCGGAAATTTTCCGAAAATTTTAGTAAGAAAAATTGAAAACTTTAAATTGGTGAATGCCAACAATTCCGTAAAATTCATACAATATTGTATAAAATATGGTCTCTTTCCAATTCCCAGAAATTATATATATAATTAGGAACGAGGTTCTCGATAAGACTGACGTTGTCGAACACTATACCCCACGTTGCATTGAATAATTTGGTAAAAACTTTCACAAGCATGAAAATGAGTGAAAGCATATTCAGAACATGTGTTATATTTTGGCTGTCAGCTCTATCAACAATTTGCCATCATCAGAGCCACATTACAATCGACAATAGAATAAGGATTTTAAAAAGTTATTACTGAGATTAGCGAAATAAATATAATAAATTTAATTCACTAACCTTTGCATGTATAACTATTAATACTAATTGTAATATTTGTATGGTTTAACAACCTAAGTATTTCATTTCTATTATTCTTTTAATATTTATTGTTTCTATATTCATTATGCATGAAAATGTTCTGAATGTATACAAATTCACCCAGTTTTGTGGTTGCGAAAAATTTTGACTGTTATCCATTTTTGCGCTTTTGTGCGTTAATTATTTTCATCTTTGAAAGAAATTAGGAGAATGTGTAATGTATCTATGAAAGCAAAGTTTGAAATAATAGATACCTGTACAATGAAGGAGAGAAACGAAAATGGATTGGAAGCATGTGAAATAAAGTGGTACAAAAATATGTTGGGAACCAAGTAGAACTGAAAGCTAGAAACAAAGTCTTTGGAAAGTTTATTGGAAAACAAATGAGTGTATACAAAATGAGCCAAGAATAAAAATTGTGACATATTAGACATATTTGCAAAATGACAGAATAAAAACTGGAAGAGAAAAGTTGAGAGACCTGTTAAGAAATAATTGGATGATGATTCAAACTAGATTGGGATTGGAAGATTGAATTCAATAAAATTGACTAAATATTAAAAAAAATTAGAACTGGCAAAAATGGTAGATGCAATTAACATGAAAGGTTCCTTTAGGAATTCCAATGGTTGGCTGGTTGGCTTATTAGTTGATTCATTGATTTATTGAATTTTCTTTTAAAAATTTATAACTTTCCTTATTTCATTCTCAGGTACTTTATCCATATATAAGAAGAAAGTGTGAGAAGATTTACGACTCATCTTATCAAGCTGAGAACAACGCACAAACAAAAGTATTGTTTGGCATTGGTTATTTTTTAAGGATGCTATTAAAAAGTAAAATGTTAACATTTAGAAGTGGGCATCAAAGTTCAAACGAGCCTTTCTCACCATCTATCCTTACATTCACACATCTTTGGAAGTCAGCTCTTTGATGTTTCTCGTTGGTTATTTGTTGGGGTCCTTACGACATCATTCGCCGTTATTATTATTATGCAAAGTCTGTTTGACGAGATTAGAAGGGGAAGATTTAATAAAAAGTAACGCGGCTCCCTGGAGCTCTCTTCTCCAACTTGATTTGTTAGTTTATTTATATTTTATAATTTTTAAAATGTTTTCAATTTTATTGGGTATATAATATCAATTTATTGTCTTCGGTGCTAGTGTTGCATATTTTCGAGCGACAGTAGTGTTTCGTGTTTATGATGTTAATTGGTGGATTGTGTTTGATCTGATGCAACATGTTTGTTTCTAGCAGTGTGGCTAGTTTGAAAACGTTCCTATTGAAAATCGTTGCGTCGACTGCTGCACTCTTTAAGACTAGTCTAACACTCACGATGTACTTTCTGCAGTTTCTTGATTGGTGGCATCAAAGTGGGCTATCCTTGCAGTCACTTCACAAGCTTCCAACACCTGATTATCCCAAGGTTTTTAATTTATTAACATTTTTAAACTGAATATCTATGATGAAATTTGTCAATTGTCGCTTGGAGTAAGTTAGCACATTCTTGCTAAGATGTTAGCAGCTCATAACAGGCACCGAAGTTTTACACAATTTATCCAGCGCTCTATGCATAGTGTTGAAGCGCTTATTATGTGTTTTTTTATTATTTTCATTTATTTATTTGTTCGTTCGTTCACTCGTTTGTTTGTTTGTTCGTTTGTTTGATTATTTATTTACAACATGCATTCACATACGTGCACCTAACACTAATGTTAATAACACTAATGGCACCCCACTCTATGTTGTCCCAAATCATTATGTAAATGCTTAGCAACGAATCGCGTTTTACCCAAATACCTGTGTATAAGATTGAAAGGCAGCTGAACCAGCCTACGTGAATGCAGTTTTTGTAATGTTTCTAAGTTCAATAATGTAGGTGAAGCCAGAATTTTTGAATAATTTTTGAATAATTTTTTAACAATATTTATTTATAGTTTAACGATCGTTTAATAGTTTATTTATTTATAGTTTAATAATTTTTGAATAATTTTTTAACAATATTTATTTATAGTTTAACGATCGCCTGTTCTGTTATCAGTACATTATTGTTTTTGTAGTTTCACCATTTCATCGTGTATATTTTGCTGAACTTTCTACGCGGAACATTTGTGGGGTTGCATAGTAATGCAATCCCAAGAAGATTACTATTAATTTGCGATAAACGAAAAAAATTCTTGTGATACAAGATCGTTTTTGTCAAATGTTAAAGAATTTGTTTGGATATTTGTTCTTGAGCGACTGATAAAGACGAAAGAAGCTTGTTTGTTGTACCAGTTAAGATCACCATTTTTTACTGTACTCTCAAATTATTTAACTATTTATTAAAGTAAATATTTCAAACTAAGATGAACTTATTTGTGCTGGGAGTTTTCTCATCCGTTCTTAAAAATTTTCAACGCTTTAATCATCTGTGCTCAGACTATCGTGAACTCTAACATTTAAATTTGCTTTACGTTATTTTCTGCTGTTTATAACTAAGATGAAAAACCAAGTATGTCTGAAAGAACATCGTATGTTATATTTAAGTTGGTTAGCTAAATTTTTTTTTAACAGTTATATAACTATAACGAGTATTGTTGGGTTAATAATTAAGTAACTTTAACATGACAAGTATTATGTGCTATAATTTAACACTTCGCTCTAAGTAAAATTATCACTGTCCCCATATAACTGAGACATTCAAGAATATGACGTTGAATAATTACTTAGAAATGTTTCACAACTAAACTGAAACCATCGACCAACTTGATGCCGAATACTTGAGAGACTTCACTGTTCAACATCTGACTTGCCTGTTCAAACATTTTGAATTCTACTTTACAAACTTTTTGTGGGACCTCAACCAAGAATGTGATTGAAACAAACTGCCAGAAACTGTTTGGGCATTTGTTCCTGAGCATTTGATAAATAAGAAAAATGGTCATTTGTTGAACTAGTTAAACTCACAATTTTACCATGCGCTCAAATTGTTAAACTTTTTATTAAAGTAATTATTTCAAACTAAAATAAACTTTTTGTGCTGAAAACTATTCATACTAGATATTTTTGGAAAACCTTGCATGTCCTATCAAGTCGCTAACGTAATGCTCAAAAATATGCTGACTTTATATGAATTTTCAGTAGAATTCAATTTACCAGAAGTTGTCAGCTCAAGAGAGGCACATTCCCTCCAATTTACTGCCTCAGAGCTTTGTTTCCAGGCCCAACTGAGGTCAATGACATTCTGCAATCGCGTGAAGCAGTATCAATAAGTTTGTGATGGAGTGATATAAGAGTTATAGTGCATGATTTTTTTCCTGGGTATTTTCATTGTATTCTACGAAATCGCAATTGCGATTCTTGGCATCTTTTTGGATTCTTCGTAATGTTGTCGATCCATTGATGTATATATATATATATATATATATATATATATATATATATATATATATATATATATAATAATTTTTTATTCAACAGAACAACTTGTTAACAAATCTTGCGAACAATGTACCGATATTTTCTTTATGTCCACTGTGTCGAAAGACAAGATGTAATGAAACGGCACTCGCTGTTTCAGGGTTAGGATTTGATTTGATGCACTCGAAAGTTTTAAAAATAATGTTTTTGCTTTTTTTATATTTCAGCTGTGATTTATTTTCCCCATATAAATTACTTTCAGGTTCGTTTTTTGCTACAAATGCATTTACTCGTACGTACAGTCAAACAGCAAATGTCCTGTTACCGGATATCCGTGTAAGTTGGAACATCTCGTCAGGATTTTCGCGCCCGATAATTAATTACTGGCGTCTTAATAATGATTACTGAATTCATCATAATATTTTTATTTATTATATTCACTGTAATTTTACATTTTCGTAAAAACATATGAATCATTCTTCGTTCATTACACGCCTTCCAAAAATAACAAACGAATTAAAAACTATTTCTCTGCACCACTTATTTTATTCAACGATTGTTTATTAAAATTTTGTTAAAAATTTTTAATTTTCAAGTATCAATTTCAAATTAATGTTCTATAAATAAAAATGTAATTGTATGTAAACAGGTTAACAAAATTTCTGCAAAAAATATTTAAACGGGATGTATGTTTTTCAGTACGTACCTGATAATTCAATTGCCGAATTCTTATACAGGTTTTCAAAATTCGATTCCTTCACCTTCAAAATTCATCAGACCATACGCTTTTCTAGGGGATTTGTAGGTTCTTTTACCCCAAGCAGTTATGGCGCTGTCACCCCACTTGCGTTTGTTGTTCGTCTTCCTGATGTTTGCTAATCTGTAAGGTTCATTTGGTAAGGGGTAGACGTGGTCAATATTGGAGATACCAGACCTCTTTCGACCCCAGGCCGTCAGCAGACTATCTCCATATTTTCTTTTACTCTGAACTTCCGGCATTTGATCGGCACTCACTTGATCAGAAGTGTACTCGCTCCATATGCTCTCGTCTGGATCGTTGTCCGCAAAATTTTCGTCCAAAGTTGTGACTAGACTGGTTAAAACGCCTAAGTTAACAAGTAACAAAACCAACGACAACTTGTTCATATTGATCTTTATACTTTTTAAAATTTTATACACGTTGTTTTTACTTCATGTAGTTTTTTTTTAAATTACTTTTCTTCAGGATTAATATTTAATTTTTTCTAAACAGTGAATTTAAAATTAACACCGTTTGTATTCCAGGCAAATATTTGTGTAAAATAAAGCTCATCAGCCATATATATATCTAGGCATCCGCTGCGAATGTGTATATATATATATATATATATATATATATATATATATATATATAATAAGTGTGTCGACACCATGAAGATTGGCACTTTATTTTTTTTTGTAGAGGCTACCAAGTATAATTTCCCTTGCCACTAATTTCAACAAAATTGTGTATTCATATTCATTGATGGTAGAACTTGGATGTGGTTTTTATGTTAACTAAATTTTTTCGAGTGCCTTTAAATAATATATATAAATATTATTTAAAGACACTCAAAATATATTAAAAAATAAATTATAAATATATTTAAATGCAACTTATATATGTTTATTTATTTATGGGATTGCTGGGTAATTGGCTCGTCGTTATTGTATAATTTTTTAGGTTCATTAGTCGATAAGCTTTATTGAATGTCAAGACATTTCAAAATATCAGAACATTTTTTTGGCATTATTATTCGTCATAAATGAATACGTACTACTGCTTATGTGTTTGAACAAGGGATCATTCGGCAAACTTTTCGTTTCCTATGTTTAATTTTCGGTTACGGTATCGATATTGTCGGTAGTATCGGTTTTTTATCGATCATCAACTTTTTATAGATAGTGTGTTCGTTATGTTTTCTTGGTATATATATATATAATATATATATACATACATATATATGTATGTATGTATAGTATAGGGAGACTGGGACTTTATGAACCACGGGTAGGTTGAACCAGTTGGGTAAATTTACTTATTTATAACAAATACCGGTAGGCGTTTTATAATTATAACTATTAATGCGTTAAGAACTAGCTGAATATTAACTGAGCTGTCATGATTATGTCTGCAAATTGTCAAGCAAATGTCGCTTATATGATTTTGTCGTTTTCGAGTAATTTTCTGTCGCTGACGTGATTGTTCTTTGAAATAAAATTGCTAAAGAGTAAATAATTTGACGATACATATTTTTGTTGTGTTTTTATCCAGTAATACCGTACGCACTTCATTCCACGCCTTGGTAACATGTTAATAAGGCTACAGTTGAAATACTAGTAGGATCACTATAGTTGGGGCCTATTGAACCTATAATAAATATAGAATAAAAAACATTTGCCTTTTCTTGACGATCCTACTCTTCTCCTTCTTGTTACTTCGTTAGTTTTATCTAGAATTATTTTAACTCGCTCTACTATGGTCTTCCTAATTGTACACTCTATCTAAGTAAAGCTTTTAACTCTGCTGCACGTTTAGTTGCTCGTGCCTCTTTCTTTTCTCATATATCTTCATTTCTTGTTCTCTTGCACTGGCTGCCTATAAAATATAGAATAATTTTTCAAATTTGCACATTTATGTATAAGTCTCAGTCTAAATGATTTCCTTATACGTACTTATTAGATATATTAATGGAACCTAAACGCCCCGGTTTACGATCATGTCCTTATTCCCACTTCTTCTTAACTCGTGTTAAACACTCTTTTGAAAAATTTGCATTTGCTTTTTCTGGCCCTTTTTCTCTGACCACTTCTCCATCACTTACGAAGTTCATAGCGGATCTCAAGACCCATCTGTTTGCAAAATTTAATTGAGGAGCGCTGTTGAACATCGCGAAAACAACGCTTTATAAACTAATTGATTTATTGATTGATTGAAAGTAGAGGTACAATATATTTATATATTTGAGCATCTGGCCACATGCACAATGTATCATTTCGAACACCGAATATGGTATGGGAATACCGAAAACAGCTTTTTGTTCTATCATGCTTAAAATAAATAAATATTTTGATTTTGAACTCAAAAAACTTGAGACTGATTTAGATCAACCATTAGAAAAATCAAAAAATTAAACAGGAAGCTGACTATATGTATGTATGTATGTGTATATATATATATATATATATATATATATATATATATATATATATATATATTATTCTTTAAAATCAGGATTTGACAGACGCAGAAATTGTTACAGCATGCAAGGCTGTTGTACAAAATTAAACGAATATGTAAATAAACATATAAAAGTAAGGAAAATAAGGAGAAAGAAAAATGTTTTAACAGGAAAAGTAAAATAAAATAGAATAAAAAAATAATAATAATAAATAAAAATAAATAAATAAAATGGCAATAAAATAAAGTAACTGCATAAAAAGGCAAATTAATGAGGTAATTTGTTAATAGACTAGATGATGACTTAGTGAGTTAGCGAAGTGATCGATAAATAAAAACTAGTTGTGTGATTGATAATGTTTTATTGAGTGTCAATATGTTTGAGGTGTCTTGTGATGAAAGACTTTTCCTGATATGTTGTTTGGGCGGTGACTTGATAGTTACGCTTGCGTTGATAATCCATATATTGGATTACCGATTAAGACTGTCATAAATGCAATCATTGGTGAAAAGCGTTAGTTAGCTTCAAGTTTCCTTTTTCGATTTTTTAAACGGTTGAATACCAACAAAAATAGAAACATTAAACTGATCCAAGTAACTACATAAACGAAAATTACCACTTCGCATCGAACCTCTCTAGAAACCACGATGTGCAGGAGTTGTATATAGGTACCCAAGATTTTTAGCACAGATTCAATAATTTTTTATGATCCTCTATGGTATAGAAAAAAAAAACAATAATTAGGATAACAAATAATATAGCGCAATTCGATCATTTCCGCGGTTACAACAATACATACATATTTATTATTAATTTATTTTTATCTATTTATTTGTTTCTGAATCTTCAAGTTATTGGTATCATTGTTTAACAGTGACGTCATAAATAATTAAAGTGTCCTCATCTACCGGATATTAAGCATAATTTGTACAAACGCATCTATTGGGGATATCAACATGAACGTAGTACCCACGTTTGGCCTGCCATGCATGCTTCGTGTATAATTCGACGTTTCTACGGCATTTGAATCTTCTCCGATGAATGTTATGTATAATAGTTGAAACATCAAAATACTATAACAAAACAAAGCTTAGTAAATCGATAGTTGAACTTGAAAGCAAACATCAAACATGAATAAAAAATGTTAATTAAAAGAATCAAAATGCTGTTCCAACGATGGCATTTTTCGTGGTTGTTTATTGTTAACAAATTTTCAGGCTCTCTTTCGAACTTCAATGGAACAAAGATTTTAATAAGTAAAATTTGATTGTAACTTTGGACATCACAAATTTTTCACAAGCGAAATATTATTTTTAATAGAAAATTTACATGAGTTTGTTTACTTTGCAAAGAAATACAAGAATTTTTATTTCCGGTGTAATTTGTTTTAGAACTGCGATATAAATAGTTTTATGTAAAGATTTTTGTATAAATTAAACAGTAATTTCATTTCAACCAAATTATTTCCAGCCAAAACTTTAAACTTGTTCAGTTGTCTTTATAATAATTTTTCTAACAGAATAATATTCATCCACTGTGTGTCTATCGAAGTTTACTTAGAGAATTTTTAGTTCGATTTCCGCATACAAATTGTTTCCTTCGAACAGTTACGACACTTTTTGTAATGTATCAACACAAATGCAGGTGATTTTAATTACGTAAATGTTTCAGGCCGTATTGTTCAATCCTCGAGGTTTTTAATAAAAAGAGTGTTGTGAGCGGGTATTCATGATAAAAATAGGAACTGTCGTAATAAATATTGAATGATTTTGAATGCATTTTTAAGATAACTAACACGTGATTAATGTTGTAACCAACACGTGATTAATGTTATGATGACTAACAATGGAATAATCATTAATGTTATGAGGACTAACACATGACTAGTTCATATTAAATTGAAATTAGCGGTCCAGCAAACTTTTTTAAATGTTATTAAGCAACACTTCGCAAATATTACTTGGCTTCTGGTGAAGAGATGCGCGTTTAATTCCCTAAATTCTTTTGTTCGTGCTGATGTCGATTGAACGTAGACGATAATAATAATAATTAAAAAAATTTAATTTTTGAAGTGGTTTTGACATGTTTAATTTGTGCTGAAGTCTAAGTGCCCCTTTTCATGCTGGCTCTCCCATCAGAAGTTTCTATCTCTGTATAGATGCAATTGAAAAAATATATAATTTTTGTAAACTAAATTTTTATTTATTTAGTGGACCGTGTTCAAAAAGTTGTTTTTGATTTGCTGTTGAATTTGCTGTTGGTGAGTTGATGTGCAGTGCTCCTTGAGGTTTTGTGCTGGGTTTGTTGTTGTTCTTGCTGTATACTGTGGATGTTGTTGGAAATTGTTGATGTTGTTTGCATTGCAGAATTGGTTTTAAATGTCATGCCTTGAAGGTTTACTGCTCGACTATCACAAAAAATGTTTTTCACATTCAACGATTTTTTATAGTTTATGAAGTACCAGGTGTCTATAGTTCAAAAAATATTTTATATAATCTATAATGGGACTGCATGATATCTGTTTTTGGCTGGTGATGCAATGCTACCAGCACGATGATGCACAATTTTTATTGCCCAACCTAAAGGGAGAGTTGAAATTAAATTTTCTGTTCAACATCTCTGATGAATGATATTGTTACAACTAACCATGGCAGCCTACAACAAATGGAGATGAAATTAATTTATTTTATTAATATTAAGAATTACTCACTGAAAACAAATTTATGTAAACTTCTTACCCGATTAAAATTTATTAATTTATGAAAAATGAAATTTAATCAATTTTTTCAACATTGTCGTTCATATAATGAAGTGAATGTTTTCCAAAGTTCGACTTGTTTAATTAGCATATTTTAAATTATTTAAGAGTCTTAAATAATTAGACCAAAATTAAGACCAAAACGTTCTTTAATTCCAACATGCTAACGAAATTATGTGAACATCTGCAAGTCAGATGTTACGACATTCAACCTAATTAAATAAATCTGTTGACCGTCAACATTTATTGAAGGGTGCCATGGTTAGTTGTAACAGTACAATACCGTCAAAACATGGTGGATTGTATGAACGCATGGAAAAGAAGTGGATGTATCGGAATGAGAGTATGTTGTCGTGCTGATGCTAGGTTTGCAATCGTTCGTATACCTCGTAAAAGTTCACGCCTTCATTAGGATCATCGCCTCGCTAATAAAAGTATATGCTGATTGGCACTCTTAAATTGTGGCTGAGTTTGCGCAGTTCTTCTTGATGTGTTTCTTTCAACATTTGGTTCTATTTATAAATTTTTTATTAAATTTATAAATTTAGTTTCTTGGAAATTATGAATCATCAAAGTCATTGTTTAAAAAAATGTGTGCAAGCTCGCTTATGGCATTGAGCATTTGAAATAATTGCACGTTCTATTAACAAATGGTCGGATGAATTAAAGTGCCACTTTTTCCAGAGATGTACTTAAAATCTTGAGAGACCATTTAGCGCAGATTTTAAAACTTATTTATTTCTGACATTTTCTCTTTCATGCTGAGCAATCATTTGTCGACATAGACAGAAGCAATAATGTAGAAAGGTCTTTGAAAAAAAAAACAGTAAGGAAATAAAAGACATTTTCTTATGTTTATATCAGTTGGGATATTGTTTTAGTAGTTGCCGTTTAAATACATGTCCGCTGATATATCCGGAGAGGGCGCTGTTGTGTGAGTAAACACATTAAACTAACGACCGCCGTCTTGCGCTCCAGTCATTCCGTACACTGCATTGCATCGCATTCTCCGTGGTACTGCCTGTGTACTGGATGTACTGGCTGTACTTGTCGCGTACGTCATACTTCACCAATGAAAAAGTATTTAATTAACTAGATACAAACATTGGGCACGACCTGGTAGGTTATATGAATTTCTTTTTTGATTTTTGTCAAATTTTTTTATTCCACTTGAAAATAAATTTATTAATGAATTTTTCACTAGTAAAAATATGGATTTTATATCCTGAGGGATTGTGAAGCATGATGAAGCATTGTGAAGTCAGTGCAGATTATCCAGTGGAATTTCAAACAAATGCAGACAAATGAAAACAAATGGTTCCTGTCTTCGTTTGTCTGTTTAAAAAATCAGAACAACAAAATGAAACCGCAAATTCAAAAAAAAATAAAAAAATAACAACCTCAATAATAATAAAAGAACGTGAATATAATTTAATGGGTTAATTCTCTTTTGACGAAACATGCTTCTTATGGATTGAAGTTATGCTTTTGGTATAAAATCTGTATTTAACATTGAGATTTAAAATTTGGTTCTTAATCGGCTGTTTAATTTCATAAAATGATAATTAAAACTTTGCTCATGAAAATATCATTTTCTTATGTTTATATCAGTTGGTCACTTGTTTCGTTCATATTGAAAATTAGTTTAATGATGAAAAGTTCGTAAAAAATTCATCAAATGAAGTCTAATATACTGACTTAAATAAAGTCAGCATCAAGCTTTTTGGGTCAATTGACCCGGTCGGCTGTTTTAATGGCCAGGCCGTTGGTGGGCTAACATCGCAAGTACTCGTTCGCTCCAAGTTGTGTAAAACAATGAAATCATTTGCACGCAATCATCATATGCATATAACCATAAACAAACACAATTACACATATTTGTATAATCATATTCACTCAAAATCATATACGTAAAATAATTACTTACATTAATCGCATACATAAAACATACAATAGTTATTCGCATACAATCATATTTAACATGCGGGCAATGATAATATACATACAATAATCATAGGCATACAATAATCATATAAAAATTATCAACAGCCTGGAATTAAATAAATGCAGAAGATAACATGCTAAATATTTTATTCTTAAAAAGTGTTTTACTCATTTTATTTAGTGTGTCATGATCATCATTCTTCTTCGCGTGCAATAAACTAAATAGAGAATCATCACGTTTGTTTCTGCCTGCAGTAAATGAAATTTCAAGAGCTGGTTAATTTTGTGACGTTTAATTTCTCGGGAGCGTTCAGATGTTGGCACTTTTAATTTTTACTCTGCCTCGATGTTGTGTTCTGGCGTGAACCACCTGTGGTGGACCACGTGCTCCATGTCACAGCGACTATCTGCATTCCTAGTCAACATTCTTTTTAGTAGGGATCTAGGAATTCAGTTCATTGTATTTCTGCCATTATAACTAAGCTTTGTATTGATACGAATATGAACAAATACAAAAAGAAAATTGCTAAACTCGAAAAATTTCATGTTACATTCGTAAATACGCATGAAAAACACTCGCACACATACACAAATATTTATGTTTCTATTTTAGCGCAAAAGTAACGGCATACGACCTTGCATCTTTTGGTACAAATGCGTCCCAGTTTTTTTTCAGTTTGAAGACAAACGTTTGAGGAAAGTTTTTTTCGCTGTTGCATTCGTTCGTCGTCACAACATAGGCCGTCACACCTTCGAGTTAAAAATTATGCCGATGATCACAAACTGTATTTTAAATAAACTTTTGTGGTTAGTGCGTGATAGATGAAGCGAAGGTTTACGTAATTAGTGTTGTTTAAATATATGAACTTTTATATAAATGTATGTTTGGTTATAATACATGCATGAGTGATTTAAATTCACAGTGTCTTTAATAGGCTACTATGAGCAATATTTTTTGCAGTTGATGTTTTTGGGCCATATGTGAACAGCCAATGTAAGTGGCCATGAGGACCTTTTTTCTTAATCAAAAAATTGAAAAATTGTGGGCTTTTTAAATTTTACATGTATATTCACCCCGAGTAATCAAAACTTAAGGTCTTAGTTACATTTTCAGGACAATCTGGTTAATAGCCGAACAACACGAGTAAAAATATTTCGAAAGAAGGGACTTCAGATGTCGGTGGGGGCGTGGTTGTTTTCGCATTTTGCAACAGTACAATAGATTTTTTTAGTGTTGCAATCGTGAGTTTAATATAGTTTGTCTACAACAATTGCACTTCCTTCTATGTAATAAGCGTTCTTTATAAATAAAGATATTAATCAATATTGTTTTTGTTCACTTTTTCAATTCATGTTACAAATTATTTATGCTAATCATTCAAATAGTTTTATGAGTGAGATTAATTTTCAATAAAATATGTTGGTATCAAACAACCAACCTAACGACCACACGTCAGCTTTTTCTGGATCGTATGGTTCTTTTCGAAAAACTTCGGGAGCAATGTAACCGAAAGATCCGCAGAAAACCTCACTCAATTTGCCGTCAAGTATCTTTGAACAATCAAAATCGCATACTTTCAATGTTTTGTGATAAACTAAAATATTGGATGGTTTCACGTCTCCATGCGAGTAACCGAGTAACTTCAAATAGTGCAACCCATTGGTTATCTGCTGCACCCACATTCTCGCCTGATCAGCGCTCGGAGATTTCACATGAGTTCTCAGCCAAGTGTTTAAATCACCTTCTAACGCCAGTTCCATGACAGAAAATGTCCATCTGCAGTTATTTGCGTATTCTATCAACTCAATAACGTTGGGGTGATATAATTTCGACCATAGTGACAATTCTTCGGTCAGCTTAACTTCAAAAATATTTACATATTTAATCAATAAAAAGTCATTAATACGCAAAGAAAATATAAAAAAACATTATAAACATTGGCAACAGTGGATAATGTTGTAATAATTTGGGTTTGATCCATTTATGACAAACTATGGTCACTGAGTTAGCTCAGTCGGTAGAAGTGTCATGTCTTGCGCTGCCATTATGCGATGGCTTGGTTCAAATACTGTCTGTCCTAAACTCAAAAACTATCATACGCGTATGATGCAGGGCTTGCGCGTGCATACTAGATAAAAAAATTTGATTTATAAAAAAAACAACATAGGGTTTGATCCATTTATGAGTACCTGTGTCTGTCAAGTGGTGTGGATAGAAATGGTAGCTTTATGGTAGAAAGCTTTATGGTAGAAAGCTTAGAATAAATAAGAATTACATGAGAGAATAACATGTAATTTGACATGCTGCGTTTGACAAAACTGCATTATAAAGATTATTAAAACTTTTCTAAAACTGGCTCTCAAGAATTAAATACGTGCGTAACTTTTTATAATAGCACAAAATCCCGTGCGAACCAACTTTTGTAATCATTGTCGTTGATTGCTAGCTTATCGATAACTTTCACGGCGACTTGTTTCTTGTTTCTCTCTGACCAGGCCTTCACGACTTCGCATCGTCTTCCAAAACCAATGACATCATAGTTGAATGTGTACCCCAAACTGCTGAGGCACTCCTCCAATGTTGCGTAGATAGGAATGTTCAGTTTGCTTTCTTTATAATTAAGTTTATCAAGTTGGTTCATTCTAGGCATCCCAATTTGACTAAGTAAGCATACTATTTTTGTTTTATAAAAAGGAGTAGAATGTAATAAAATATGCTAAATAAAAATGTTGAGTTTAAGTGTCATTTCACTGAGGATGTTATATGTATTCTGATATTGTGCACATTATAATTTGTAGTTAATATTATTAATATTATAGTAGTAATTAATATATAAATTCATCCAGTCTCCAATAATGATATTTTGGCTTGGGTTGTTTTGACGTGGTATTTCATAACATTGCTTTTCAAAGATTGTTTTTTAATACAAAATAATTAATAATAAAGTCAATTTTTTAATACACTGAAATGTAATTACATTATTGTAAAAACTAGTCGAAATATAAGGCCGGTGCGAATTTACTTCATTAATTACTATTTTCATTTAAATAAAAAATTTGTCCTTGCCATCACTGATTTTATCCTTCAGAAATTGGCTAAAAGTCTCAATTCACATTTAATATCAAAATAGTTAAATGGTCTTCAGCAAAACGCGAGATGATTTTTTTAAAAAGAAAATAGTGAAATAAATAAATAAATTAGTTAATTAATTTGATAATCACCAACTTCATTATCGACGTCGTCGTCATCACAATTTACATCAACATTTTCATCATAACACACATTTAATTTTAACTTTTTTCAAATTTTTTTAATTAAATTTTAAATAAAAAAAAATTAAATATAAATCTGTGTAATAGAAATAAGTTATTGGATAAAGTTACATCACCGCACTCAATGTTCTCAAACAAACAATCCAGTATAAGAAAGAGTAAGACCATTTAGTTAAATTTACTATTAAGATTCATTAAAAATTAAATTAATATATCTATAAATTTAAAATATAAAATAAAATATAAGACTACTGATTAATTGATAATTTTTTTATTAATTAATTGTTATTTTAACATCTTAATTAAATCTTTAAATTAAATCTAAATTGCATCTTAATTAATTGTTAATAATATTTGTAAGAATCTGCATAAGTGCAATGTGTATTAATATTACATTCATTAACAAACATTAATTAATATTAATAAATGATTACATAGTTGACTGATAACATAATAACATCAACTAAGTAATAACATAATAATAATTATAATAATATAAAAATAATATAGTAGAGTTTAGTGTACAGCCTAAGCCTTAAGGGAAAAAATTAGGTAGATACAGATAGATCTAAGAGATGAATAAGGAAGAAATTGACAAGAAGTACATCCGCGAATTAGACGTTTTATTGAAAGAAATCAAGTCTTTCTCGATTGTCATCTTCGAGCATTTCAAGACCTACAGTGATGCCAATTCAATTCGATTTGTGAAGAGTTCTGCATTCCTGTTGGAGCATATTGACCAGGGTCTTCTGCCTTATTTGGACGGTTTCTTGATTGCAGCAGGCCAGTTTGATTTCAGCAGTCAGCACCCAGCAAATGGGTATAGAAGTGTTGTCGGTCTCATCGAGAAGTGCTCTCTGCATTTGCTCATTTTGACACGTTACGTGGCTTTGAAAAAAAAAAGTTTGCTATTCAGGAATGATCACTACAGTAAAGAGGTCTTTTAGGCTTTTAATTTAGTGTTTAATCTTTTTTTAATTTTTGACTTTGTTCTTTATTTGGTCTATTGTTTATTAAAAGTTTATTTTATTAACATTTTGCAACTTTTTTTTTAATTTAAAAAAATAGTGCTATCAATTTTTAAGACAATTTTTAAACAAAAATCTTCAAATGCATTAAAATGAAAAATTAGTTCAAAATTATTTTAAATTTTCTGAAAAGTTTGAATCCTATGTGACATTGTTGGGCCAGTTGAGAGCCTGCTTACAATATGCACAGAAGTTCATGTCCTATTCATCAGGGCAGCTGGTTAGCGAACAAGTTTCAGAAGACGAGTTCAAAATTATGCAAGAAATTGAAAACCTCTCACAGGAACCATTCTACGGTGTTTGCCTCGGCTTTCAGGTTTGCTATCTATCTTTTATGTTACCATTTTGTAGGCGTAAAGTTTTGCTTGAGGGCTTAGAATATTTTCTTTCTTAAATATTATGATTTTGAATTTGTTTTAATAGACCTGCAAGAAACTTCTGAGTGAATTTATTTATTGGCTTCTTATTATTTACTCAGCATTATGCATACTTGCAGATGTTGACATGTTTGAGATTTTTTAAAGCTTGTCAAAAAATGAATTTTTATTAATCAACATAATCTTTATTGTGGATTAGTTTTTTGTGCACTACGAACGAACCAGCACATGCAAATTAAATGTTCCAGTACAACAGCTCAATGCTGCAGACCATATTGGTCATGCACATCATCCTGGCGTCCTACAGTTCCGGATACAACAAATCCTCTCCATTCATGAAACTTGCATCCAGTGTCCTCAGCAGTGGCAAGTTCATCATTTCCCCCGAGGAGAGAGCTAAAAAGGTTTCGCAACTTTTTCAAATGCTTTGATGGCTGCTCGTTGAAATTCAATCAACTAAAATAAAATAGTCAATCAATCAAAAAAATATATATATATAATTAATTAAAATTTAAATAAATTAACCTCCACCACCAATTTTGTTATATTTTTGAATGTTACTAAAAGATGTTGCTTGTTTTGTGAGCAAACCTTCACTATTATTCATCATCATGTGGTTTATCCCTGGTCAACATCTTGCCTTCGTGTCATAATGTTACTGTTGTTTGATGACCTTATATAAAGTGATAAATAACATAAAATAATCATGTAACATAAAATGATGGATTTAAATGTTGACTGGAAGGTCATAGAAGCCACAGTTCATGGTGATGTTAACTTTTGCAAATCCTTCTGGGACTTGTCTGAAAATGCTCTTTTGCATGTTAGTGTTGTTGTTGTTGTGTTGTTGAGTTGCTGTGTTGTTGAATTGTTGTGATGTTGAATTGTTGTGTTGTTTGTTACGATGTCTCATTGTTTTGAAGTGTATTGTTGTGTTGTTGTGTTATCGTGGTGAGTGACCTTGTGTTGCATGCTGTTGTTTTTCAAACGCTGTTAGATTTGGCTTTAGATTATTTGAATTGTTTTCACGTTTTCAATGGCGGGTATTTTCACAGTTTATGCCATTTCACAGTCATTCTCATGATTTTCTGTACACTCACTCCTATTTAACTGACACCCCTTCAAAATACGTAAACAGCAGCACTAACAAATCATCAACTTTCTTCCCCACATTCGAACAGAGCATAGCAAAAGTAGTGAGCCCTCTTGTTGCCATCGAAAAAACAATCCACATTCCATTGGACCCCCCCGTTCAAGTCTTTCTCTCATCTGACCCAAACAAGCACATCACTGTTTCCGTGCCTAATGCTGAATCATCATCGATTATGGTTAGGCTGTTTTCGTATCAGGCTCGACAAGGTCAAGTGAGTACATGTGGGTATTTGTGTGTGGGTGTTTGTATTTGTGCGTGGGTGTTTTTAGTTGTGTATGGGTGTCTGTATTTGTGCGTGTGTGTTTGTAGTTGTGTATGGGTGTCTGTATTTGTGCGTGTGTGTTTGTAGTTGTGTATGGGTGTCTGTATTTGTGCGTGGGTGTTTGTAGTTGTATATGGATGTCTGTATTTGTGCGTGTGTGTTTGTAGTTGTGTATGGGTGTCTGTATTTTTGCGTGTGTGTTATATCCTCACTGCATTTGTGGGTTTATGTGCTGTGCATATGTATATATTGTGTATATTGTGTACTATATATTTTTATAAATATTCATGTTCCTTCTTTTGGTTAACTAAGTTTTTAATTATTGATAGCCATTAATGGGTTTTATACCATATTTTTTATAATTTCAAACATTATTTTGGAATGGTTATAGTCCGACCCATAACGGATGGAGACTATAAACGAGAATTGATCGATGATTGATTGATTGATTGATTGATTGATTGATTGATTGATTGATTGATTGATTGATTGATTGATTGATTGATTGATTGATTGATTGATTGATTGATTGATTGATTGATTGATTGATTGATTGATTGATTGATTGATTGTAAAAAGTTTCGCACATTTGTAAATGTCATTAAATTTTTTTAGATGAGTTAGGTGTATGGAATGTTAATTTGCGGATGGATGTTGTGCTAAATTATT